AAACTTCCCTTATCTAATCAGTGATGCAAAAATTCAAACACAAGAGATTCAGAGAACCCCTGCAAGACAACAAATGAGAAGACCACTCCTAGACACATAATAATTCACCTAAACGAAGTAGGCATAAAAGAAAAAATCCCAAAAGCAGCAAGAGAAAAAGACCAGATCACCTACCAGGGAAGACCAATCAGAATAGCAGCAGATTTGTCTACAGAAACCCTACAGGCTAGGAGAGCTTGGAGCCCTATCTTCAAAGTCCTAAAAGATAAACAATTTCAACCAAGAATAACTTACCCGGCCAAGCTAAACTTCATCAGCAAGGGAGAATTAAAATCTTTCCCAGATATCCAATCCTTAAGAACTTATGCTGCCACCAAACCACCTCTACATGAAACACTTAAGAAAGTACTAAACACAGAAGAAAAGGAAAAAAGAACAACATTCTTCAAAAGAGTACAGGGAAAAGAATAAAATATACATGAATCAACCACCAAACCAAAAGAAAGACAAAAAAGAACCAAGTGGAAGAACAACAACTCTATAAGAACTCTATGATAGGGATGAACTCTCACATTTCAATAATTAGCCTGAAAGTGAATGGACTAAACGCACCACTGAAAAGACACAGAATGGCAAAATGGATAAAATATCACCAGGCAATAATATACTGCCTTCAAGAGACCCATCTCACTAGAAAGGACATACACAGACTCAAAGTAAGAGGAAGGAAAACAAACTTTCAGGCGAATGGAACACAAAAGAAAGGAGGAGTCGTGATCTTAATTTCAGACAAAATACCATTTAAGCTATCAAAAATTTTAAAAGATACAGAAGGCCACTACATAATGATAAAAGGCTCAATTCATCAACAAGAAATATCTATCCTAAACATATATGCACCCAACATAGGTGTGCCGACTTTCATAAAGCAACTTCTAGGAAAACTAAAGAAAGATATTGACTCTAACACCATCATAACTGGGGACTTTAATACCCCACTCACAACCCTAGACAGATCATCAGGACAAAAAATCAGCGGGGAGATCCAGAACCTCAATGTGACTCTTGACCAAATGGACTTAATTGATACCTACAAAACACTTCATCCAAAGACCACAGAATACACATTCTACTCATCACCGCATGGAACGTATTCTAAGATCGACCACATATTTGGCCATAAATCAAGCATAAGCAAATTTAAAAGGACCGAAAATTTACCCTGCACCTTCTCGGACCACAGAGGAATAAAAATAAACATTGACACCAAAAAAGTCCCCCCAAAACCCACAAAGACATGGACACTAAACAGCATGATGCTAAACAACTCCTGGGTCAATGATGAAATCAAAAAAGGGATCAAAAGATACCTGGAAACAAATGATAATGAAGAAACATCTTACCAAAATCTCTGGGATGCCTTAAAAGCTGTAGTAAGAGGGGAATTTATATCCCTACAAACACACATGAAGAAAATGGAAGGAACACAAACTAACAGCCTAATAAGCCACCTAAGGAAACTGGAAAAGCAAGACCACAAAAATCCTAATTTCAGCAGAAGAATCCAGATCAACAAAATAAAAGCCCAAATCCAGGACATAGAAGACAAATAGATAATACAAAAAATCAATGAAACAAAAAGCTGGTTCTTCTAAAGGATAAACAAGATTGATGTTCCCCTAGCTAGACTGACCAAGAGAAAACGACAAAAAACCCAAATAAGTACAATCAGAAACACAAAAGGTGCAGTCACATCTGACCCTGAAGAAATTCAAAAGATCATTAGAGACTACTACGTACACCTGTATGGAAACAAACTTGAAAACCTTAAGGAAATGGAGGACTTTCTGACATCACACAACCTACCTAGGTTGGAACCAGAAGAAATTGAGACCCTAAATAGACCAATAACAATCAAGGAAATTGACTACGTAATAAGAAAACAACCTACAAAAAAAAGCCCTGGTCCAGATGGCTTTCCAGCAGAATTCTATAAGATATTTAAGGAGGAGCTGATATCAATCCTACTGAAGGTATTCCAGGCGATTGAAAAAGATGGAACTCTCCCCAAATCATTTTATGAAGCTAACATCACACTGATACCCAAGCCAGGTAAAGATCCAACAAAGAAAGAGAACTAAAGGCCAATATCTTTGATGAACATAGATGCTAAAATTCTCAACAAGATCCTAGTGAACTGGATTCAACAATACATCTCAAAAATCATCCATCATGACCAAGTAGGCTTCATTCCTGGGATGCAAGGCTGGTTCAACATTCGTAAAACCATAAATGTAATTAAATACATCAACAGATGTCAAAACAAAAACCACATGATTATATCATTAGATGCAGGAAAAGCTTTTGATAAAATCCAGCATCCCTTCTTGATAAAAACCCTCGAACATCTAGGCATACGGGGAACATACCTCAAAATAGTAAAAGCCATCTACGAGAAACTCACAGCCAACATACTCCTAAACAGACAAAAATTGGAACCATTTTCCCTGAAAACTGGAACAAGATAAGGATGCCCACTCTCACCCCTCCTGTTCAACATAGTATTGGAAGTCCTGGCTCGAGCAATCAGAGAAGAGAAGGCAATCAGGGGTATCCAAATAGGAAAAGAGGAAGTCAAGTTATCTCTCTTTGCAGACGACATGATTGTATACCTTGAAAACCCGAGAGAATCTGTCAAAAACCTCCTTACACTGATAAAGACCTTTGGCAAAGTCTCAGGATACAAAATAAATGTACAAAAGACAATCGCATTTCTCTACACCAATAATAAACAAACAGAAACCCAAATAAAAAACACAATTCCATTCACAATAGCCACAAAAAAATTGAAATACCTTGGCATCTTCCTAACCGGAGACGTGAAAGACCTTTACAAGGAAAACTACAAAACACTGCTCAAAGAAATCAAAGTTGACACAAACAAATGGAAAAATATCCCATGCTCATGGATCGGAAGAATTAACATTGTGAAGATGTCCATCTTACCTAAGGCAATCTACAAATTAAATGCAATACCCATCGAATTACCAGCAACATTCTTCTCAGACCTAGAAAAAACAATCCAAGAATTCATATGGAAACACAAACGTCCAAGAATAGCCAGAACAATCCTCAGCAAAAAAAACAAAGCAGGTGGTATCACAATACCACACTTCAAACTTTACTATAAGGCTACAATCATCAAAACAGCTTGGTATTGGTACAGGAACAGGCATATAGATCAATGGAATAGAATTGAGATCCCAGAAGCCAAACCTCAATTTCTCAACCAACTCATCTTTGACAAAGCCTCCACCACCTACCACTGGGGAGAGGAGAACCTATTCAGTAAATGGTGCTGGGAAAACAGGCTGACCACATGCAGAAGATTGAAACAGGACCCCTATCTATCCCCATGCACAAAGGTTAACTCCAAATGGATCAGAGACCTAAATGTAAAACCTCAAACCATAAGAACCTTAGAAAATGAAGGAAATACCCTCATGGAAATCAGAACTGGCCTCCAATTCCTGAACAAAACTCAAAACCTGCAGGTCATAAAAGAGAGGATAGACAAGTGGGACCTTATTAAACTGACAAGCTTCTGCAAAGCCAAAGAAACCATCAAGAGGGCAGGGAGACAGCCTATAGACTGGGAAAAAGTATTTGCCAACACCAGATCAGACAAAGGTTTAACATCTTTGATCTATAATGAAGTCAAACATGCTGAAAAGAAAAAAACAAACAACCCAATTATAAAATGGGCAAAAGATATGAACAGACACTTCACAAAGGAAGACATCTGAGCAGCCAACAGACATATGAAGAAATGGTCAACCTCACTAATCATCAGGGAGATGCAAATCAAAACCACACTGAGATACCACCTAACTCCAGTCAGAATGACAGTTATCAACAACTCAAAAGATAACAGCTGCTGGAGAGGGTGTGGAGAAAAGGGAACACTTCTACACTGTTGGTGGGAGTGTAAACTAGTGCAACCTCTGTGGAAAGCAGTGTGGCAATTCCTAAAAGCTTTAAATATCAACCTCCCATACAATCCTGCAATCCCCCTACTGGGAATATACCCTGAAGAACTCAAATCACTCTATAAAAAAGATACCTACACCCGTATGTTTATCGCAGCATTGTTCACAATAGCAAGAACCTGGAAGCAACCATGCTGCCCATCAAAAGAGGACTGGATTTAAAAAATGTGGTACATATGCACGATGGAATACTACGCAGCCATAAAAAAGAACAAAATCATGAATTTTGCAGCAACCTGAATGGAACTAGAGACTATAATACTGAGTGACCACTCACAAAAACAAAGGTCCGAGTATCACATGTTCTCACTCATATAATGGACCTTGGACATCCAACCTAATAGTTTAAGAAAATGACTGACAGTAGTGGAAAACTATAGCGGGGGAGGGTGATGAGATTAAAGGTAGCAAATATCGGTCTGGGGATGGGCAAGCACCTCTTATCAACAGTGTGCCTGAATGAAACGTATTTGTATACCTAACCCTTAACTGTACCCCACAACATCATAACAAAAAATATTGATTATAAAAAAAAGAAAAATCTAGAATCAATTTGAAAAAATAAATAAATAAATAAACGATACCCTAGTAGGGGCCCATGGTCATCCACTTCCGTGTACTTCTATTTTAATTACCTTAGGATAAATATCTATCTACAAGAAAAACTATGGGGCCAGATGGGAATAGACTTTAAAAATTTTGATATATAGTCCCAGCTGCATTCTTAAAAAGTTGTATCAGTTTACCTCCCTAGTGTTATTTATTTATTTTAGCACTTGCTAATCTGAGGAACTAAAATTGTATTTTATTTTTATTGCATTTCTGTCATTATTGGAGAGAATTGTTACTTTTTAGAGGTCTCTGGAACACTTGTATCTATTTATACAAATTATTTTATAAAATAACAAACTTGCCAAAGTGTATGTTGAGAATACAGTAGTGTCCACTCACCAGTTAAAACTTGAGGAGACTGCCCAGAGCTCATCTGTGCATTAAACCCATGCTGGGCAGAGCAGAGGCCCAGCAAATATTTACAGTTCTTAGCTGAGTCAGTGACAAAAGTGTGCTTCTTCCCAGTGACACTGCTTGTGATGGTGAATTTTTTTTGCTAAAGGAAAAAGCACAGACTTTAATACATAGATCATCCTTACTCATCCACTGAAGCACAACTGTACAAAGAGTAATAAAATGCTCCATCCCTTAGTTCAATATCAGCGTATTGGGCATCCAAAAGTGTATGGCAGATGTTATCTGACTATGGCCCAATATTTTTCTTAGAGTAAAGAAGATCCCTCTTTTTTTTCCCCTTCATTCATAAATCAAATTGTTTCTCAGGCAATTACTATTTTCCAAGGAGTGTCCTGGGTAAAAAGAATAAGAAATAAGTCAGGTACATTAGCCTCAACAAAGGGTAAACATAATCCTCAGTGTGCAGTATGAAAGGGCACTAAGTCTTCCTATAAGTACTCCTATTATTATTATTGTACAAACGCCAGAAAGTTGCAGACAAAATCTCAGTTAGCAAGGTTATGGGAAAGATAAAAGTTCTTATATGTGTTCTAATATTTCTGGCTATAATGTGCCAAGTTCTATGATAAGGGCTTTATGAGTATGAATTTATTTCATTTCGACAACTACAGAATGAGGAAGATTCTATCATTATCCTCATACTACAGATTAAAAAAAAAGATCAAGAGTCCTCATAACACCATAGAAATTGAGGTCACACTACAAATAAATGCTTTTCTGCATTTTACCTTCAAGGTTCACATACAAAGTGATCATATTTGTCCAGCTCCCTGGGCTAAACTGGTAGGGATTATCTATCTAAATCGAGCCTTATGGGGGGAAAAAACTTACTGCAATGTGTAATTCTGATAAGAACAATATAATACAAAGTAAAGTGATATTAAATATAAATTATGTATGACCCCCAAATAAAATCTCTATTCTAGATATTCCGTTGAGTTCAGGAAACATTGAACTTGCTCCTATAAAGATAACTTTATAAAAACAGGGTTTATGCTTGAAAGGACTCCCTGAAACTCTTGATCCTATTTAAGGCTGATCTCTTTTAATTCATGATAGTCACCATTTCTAAGAAACTCTATTTGCACAAGTCAGATATTAACAAAAGGCAGATAAATATTCATTGTTTTTCCTCTGAGAAATTCCTTTTTAGCATTAAGCTAATTTTAGATTACTTGATCATTCTCTAAATACTCTTTACTTTTATTAACAAATGCAGAGCTGAGCCTCCTTGTGCTAATGTGAATGGATTCTCAACCCAAATGAACTGTACTACATCTTGCATTTCTTTAAATAATGTATTTCATCAAGCATTCATAGATGCTGCTCTACTGGTATTAATAATTCTTCCCTAGTATTCAGCGAATCATTTTATCCACTTTTATTCAAATAGTTGAATATTTACTTGAAATCCATACACCTTGTCATACACACTGATATGTTTTCATATAGTCCTGGTGATGTGATATTAAGTTCATTCAGGTATTAAAAATGTTAGACAAGTAAGTCAGTTTTAAAAATCTAATAACTATTCTTTAACAAACCTGAAGAGGGAGAACCATTTACACACATAAACACACACACACACACACACACACACACACACACACACACTCGCCAAAATTTCTTTTAGCTTTTAATCTCCAAACAAAACTCTCCCTTTGAATGCCAGTGCTCCAAAGTATTAAATCACATAGTGTGGAGCACTGCACTACTCCCATTTCTTGACATAAAGCTGAAAACAGTTTTGACCGTAGTTGTTTGGATTTTATTTCCATTTATCATCATTTTGATAACATCTTTTAATGGAAAATTCATATCCACAGGCAAACTTTCACATAGACAAGCTTCTCTGTGTATATGATGATGTATTACTCCAATCTTACAGTTTTCTGCACCAACATGAAAACCTTTCTTTACGCCACTGTGCAATAGGAATATACTCGTGTTTCTGTCATGTGTTTGTTTCAAAGCCTTCGCTTACCATTTCCAATATTTCAGCTCTAGTAGTTCTATTGTTGTTGCTATTTGTTCACCTGCTTGTTTGTTTGTTTGTTTGTTTTGATACATCTTTGCATAACAGTAATATTATTCCAGGCAGAAGCCAACTGGCCATGAAGCTAGTGCAGCTGATGCGCCAGGGCCCTCACTTGGGTAAACTTTTTCCTGGGAGGTAAGATGCTTTCACCTCAAACAGTTAAAACCACTGACTGTTCTTTCCACTCCAACTTCCCCTCCTTCCCACTTTCTCTCCTACCAGGTGGTACTGTGTGGTATAGGAACAAATCCTTCTAAGAAGTTGATATGGGAATGCATTTAGCTTAGATTTAGTTTGATTTATTTAGGTGGTTTGTAGTCTTTTCCGCAATAGTTACCCAGTTGCCAGCCATCCCAGAATGTTCCTTCCATTTGGCCAACTCACCAGAAGTCTAAGCACAAAGGTGCAGGGCCAGTAGCTATTTGAAATTGACCATGGCCCATTCAACTCAATTCAATGACCATGAAATTGACCCAACACCCACAAAAGTTTGATATGTACAGAGCCACCAGTTGGTCTTTGAGAAATTTTTGCAATCATGAGTAATGAAAAGCTATTATTTAGTTATCAAAAACACCCAATCAAGTGAAGCTCTGTTCTATCAGGGATATGCTCTATAATTGTACATACTGCATTATCAATGTGTCATACAATAATTTTCTGTTTTTTTATTGGAATCACATGAAATATAATTTGTTAGATTTTCTGCATTTGTAACAAAGAACTGTGTAGTAACACTATAACAAGCAAGTATGTCTGTGCAAAATTGCATGTTTTATGTATCCTATTGATCCTTTCAATAATAAAAACAGATTTCAATCAGTCATGCTAGAAGAGAAATTAAACTATATTTCTATTCTCTCTAAAGAAAATAACATTACAAAAGAGCCACCATATGAAAAAAACAATCAAAGAGTATGCCATAAGAAATTTGAAGGGAAAAAAGTATTATAGACTTTGTCAGGGAGTTAAATTAAAATAGTATTTTTCTGCCTTTTGTGATATTTGTGGATTTGTTCACCTTCTAAAAATTTATACAGTTTTTATGATTTCTTTTTCTCATTGCAAATAAATATTCCTTTCATACTTGTAGTTTGTAACTTTGAACTCTTTTTCATAAAGAAGGCCTTACATAGCTTATATCTGCTTCTGCTTCTACAGAGATTTAACTAGTGGTGATAACCAACAACAGTTACTAACATGGGTAGGTTCATTGTTCTAGAAGGAATACTTTTGTGTTTGAATAATCAAACCATTCATAGATGCCAACACATCAATGAGTCATATCCTTTGAAAATGGCATCTTTCTTTATTTCCTTTGTTACTTCCATGCAGGCTGGCAAGATGATGATTTGTGATTGAAGAATTTTTGCTTCATCTATTAATAAGAAAAACTGAAATTAGCTTTATGAGCTAATTCTCATCTAACTCACAGAATTTGCAATTTTGTGCTTACAGAAGTATGAAGAGATCAAGTCATTTTCTGTGTAAGATATGTGGTTTGTAGCAAGCCACTGGTGACCTTACTTCTTGTGATGACTTTTCTGTAAAAATAAGTCATTCATGCCAAGGAAAAGGATGATCATCGGGGGAATGAAACTCCTAATTAAGTAGGCTTTTAAAAACTACTAAGTTTGTCTTGTGGACCTGATGACTTCCCAGATTTAATCAAGAAATTAATTAATTTAATCAAGAAATCTCTTGGTAATAGGGAAAACAAATATCTGTAAAAATTAAACCAATTTATATAAAAAGAACTTGTTAAAGGGGACCGTTGAACTTTACAGCTTAAAAATTCCATTTTTATGTTAACTGCATTTTTATGAATGTTTTAAATGTTTTAAAACAAGTTACATGAAAAAATTGGAACAATTAAACATGCAGTAAAGAAAATAAGAAGTAATGAAATAGCATTGAGTTAATTAAATAATTAAAATTCTTCAAATAATCTTTCAATTGAATTAAAATAATTTGAGCATTTAAAATTCTAAAACATTTATAAATATAAATATTTTCATTTGTTTGGTAAAAATTATTTGGGAAATAATCAGTTTCCTGATACTATGAAGACCACTGTAATGAACTCAATTAAATTATGCTTAATTATTAATTATTTTTAGATGTAAGCTCTTTCTCCTAAAGACAAATAATAACATTATGAAATTCTATCAAGAATCATACTTTGGCCATGTATTAATTTCAAAAGTCAAGATGGTGGAAATAAAAGAAATATTCAGAAAATGAATAAAAGTAATTATGCTTACTTAGTTAGGAAACTCTAACATCATCAGATAATAATAAAAATAGTGACTTAGAAGAAATTTTGAACCATAAGGAAAATTAAATAGAAAAAAATTCTTTTTCATAGGTTACAAAATGAAGAACTTCATGTTTGATCATGAATTATCATTGAAGTAATTCAAATGCTGACCAGGATGACATATGGGACAGACAGGAACAGTCAGCTAACAGGATACCAGTGCCAAATTGATTGTAACTAAATTCAGGAAGTATAAATATGCATGCAAATAGTGTTCAAATATGACTGTAAATGTTGTATGTTTAATGGGGATTTTTTTGTTTTAAAAATAGGCTTTGAAATTCTCAAGGGCTATCAAATTTTATAATCATCAGTGTTCTGTAGCATACCTGTAGTCCTGGAAGACAGACCAGAGGACTCAGCACATTGTATGTGAAGGGAAAATTCAAAAACAAGGAAACTGTTTCAAAGCCTTGCAGACTTCAGTCAATCTGCATTACACCCATCCCCATCTCCCACCTCCAAACTTGCTCTCAACATTGATGGATTCCCCAAATTAAAAGAACTTGGAAAGTGTAGCCCTTTCAACCAATGGCCATTCACAGGGGTATACAGGGTCCAGGTAGCAGATGGTAGAATAGAAATGGCCTCCTGGGAACTTCCCCAAAATTCCCTGACAAAAATATCCTGCAATGCATTAAAATGCGGGTTGACTGACAGACAGACTGAGCATATTTGGTCAGGAGAAAGTCACATTACCCATTGCTCCTTTAAATGAGCAAGAAGTGGAAGGAGAATGAGGCACAGGCATTTATTAGCTGAGCTACACTCACATAAGTCGAAATCTTCCTGGTTTCTCGCCACTGAAACCGTAAAGTTGCAATTCTGCTGTTGTTTTTCACTTCATATACTATGATACCCTTGGCACAGATCCCCAAGGCCATCTCCTCTTCTGGCCTCTTCTTCTCTGGGTATACTTGGTGAACTAGCACACCATATTCTGGGAGCTGCTGAGTGATCTGAAGAAAGAAAAAGGTCAATTTAGAAGAGACAGGAGCACTGATTTAAAATAATGGGCCTCAAACGATTTCATGAAAAACATGTTGATAAGTGTTCTGAAAAAAAATTGACCATAGGATTGTCTAAGTTTAAAAAACACTGAGCTAAACAGATTTCCTTACTACATACAAAACTTCTCTACACCTCTGATATGAGAGCACGTTTCTATTTTTTTAAGTCAAGAAATACTTTTCTCATGGAGTACCTAAAATAACACTTAGAACACAGTTATTATGAAAATGATACAATAGAATAATAATATTTTGGACAAGTTTTTTAGAATTCAGAATCTTCTGGGACATCTCAAGGTAAAGGATTTCATTTCCTAATTGTGTCAGAGTCTACAGTATTTTCTGGTCCAACTCTTTCATGATATACATGGAAAAACTGAGGTTCAAGTAGAAAGTAACTTTCTGGATCATCAGCATCGCTATTAAAGCAAGATGAGCCATGAACACCCTGCAGAGATAATGATCATTCACTTTGGCATTTCTCACCATGTAGCAATGCCTTGGTGAAGTCCCCAGAGCCCAAGGTTTCACCTCAGTTTTAACCAGGCTAGGAGTCTAAATTGTGTCAAGAGCCATGGGTCAATTGGAGCTGGGGACTGCATTAGGCCAACCAAAGTTTTAATAGTATAAAACTAACACACATGTTTTTATGCCTGAATGGTAGTCATGTCTCTATCCTGGGCTCTCCCATCTCCATCTTCATCAGGAAGGCATCAGTTCTCATCAGAAGTCTGATGTGCCTGGACCCCCAGCAAGGACCACTTGCGCCAAGCATTTGAAACCCTCCCAGAAGGGTTTCATTGGTGAGATCTGTTATACTATTTTTACCCCTCAGCAGACAGTGCCATGTCCTATCCAATCTAGCTCATCCCCAGGAAAGGTTCAAAAAAACAGGAACAAATTATGATTTTTGAGAGCTCCTCTTGCAGGATCTTTTCTGACCTCTCTACTGCTGATGAATAGTCTCTGCAGAAAGGTTATGCTACCTGCACATGCCACAGCTCTTCACACAGTCTTGGTAAAGTTTCTGAACCCTGAACTTCCTTCTTTTGACTTTGGACAGACCCCGCAATCATCATCATCATAGTCGATATCATCATCATATAAAACAATATTTATTGAGCACTGGTGCTGAAATATTCAGTAGCCAGACTGGGCATGTGATTAAGGTATGGCAAAGCAGAGTCACCTCAAATCAGTTAGATAAATTATTTTAAAGAATTTGATGTGATAGTTCTAAAAAAATTAGCTATTAAAGTAGTCTTCATTAGAATAAAAATAACTTTGCTAGGCTTAAACTTTTCAATTTTTTTTTATTTCTATAAAAAGAGATAGATACTTTCCAGTACTTTGGGCTGAAAATTCTTAAACTGGCAAAGCACCATGCTAAGCATTTCCCATGCATTATTTCATTAGTATTTACTCTTCACAATCATAGAGATAGGTGTAGCTATCTCTTTTCAAAAGAGAAGGTGGCAGCACAGAAGTGTTAAGTAAACTGCCAAATTCCTGCTTTGGAGCCAGGAATGGAAATACAGAAATATGAGTTCGTTTGCTCCTGACTCTTCATTATTAAATCTAAAATACAGGGTATCCATAAAGTCTGGACACATAGGTGAATCTACTTAATGTTATCAAGGACATCTTCAATCTGTGAAAAAAAATGAAATAATGATGTTTCCCTCTATTTCCTGTCTGCTAGAGAGTCTTCTAGGGTACCTCTTGTCATCCACTCTGCATTGCTATTGCTAGTTTTCCTCTTAGAGGATCATTTCACCTCCATGTCACTTGATTCTCTGTCCTCCCTACAACAGGTAGCAGCAACATTAAGATGAAACCAGATGCTCCTGGCTGCCAGCCACACAGCACCCTTGCTGTATTGAATACTGTCAGAAATAAACAGACTGTTATTTCCGGGTATTCATCAGGAGATTCACAACCACTCACATTATTCACCTTATTATTCCACTCCTGGGAGCCCATCCTAAGACAACATGCTGGCTTTGGCCCCCTCCCCTACCTTGGAGAGGTGAATCTCCTCTTTCTCTCTCTTTAATTTACTTTTTAAATACACTATATTTTCTAATCTTAAAAAAAAGACAATATGCTGAGTAATCAAGACAAACTCTTCTCATAATGCTGTTTGTTACAGACTTGGGGAGGGGTGGGTTGGGGAGACTAGCTCCCAGGTGATAAATAACTTCCTAAAACTGGTACTGCCTTAAAATGGATTATCAGGCAGTTTTTACAAGGGACGTTTAGAAAGCGAAAGTGTTTGTAATTATCAAGGGAATGCATGTGTTATAATGTTAAGTGAGGAAAATTACAGGATACATCCAATATAATTTCAATAACAAAAAATGTTTTAATAGCATATCACAACCCTCAGCTATGTGGGAAAATGGTTACACAGTTGAGGAAGTTGGAAAAACACTGAGTTAGCCTTAAACAGTTTGATCTGGAATTAATATGCTAATATAGTTGTGAATCTTCAGACAGAGCATGGTACTCAGTGTTACCTAAACTGGACTCCTGCCAAGTCTGCTTCTAGTGTGAGATGATGAACTAGCAGAGCTAGTCATCAGTGAACTGCAGGCCAACAGGCCGTCACCAGATGATGGTTTCCTTCTTTCTAATGAAAAATAAGAGCCACAAGGAGTGCAATTAAATAATCTAGTGACTATTTATAGAGGATTAACTGGGCTCTGAGGATTCAGGGCCCTGCAGGAATTAACAGAAAATGTCCAGACACGACTGCAGTGCAAGGTATTTTAACAATACATATCAACAATGTTAAAAGAGCTTATTACCTTCAACCCTATAATTTCACTCATATTCCTAAGGAGTTAAGCAGATATACAGCTAACAATTTATGTAGGAAAATGCTAATCTCAGTATTAAATAGTCCCATATTGGAAATTATTTATATGTCAAACAATAGAGCATTGAGAAAAAAATTAGGGTACACATGTATTGATTCAAAAAATGTTTTCAAAATTTTGGTGATGTGGGAATATATGCATAAATAAAAGTGCATATATAAGTCTAATTTTAAGTGTATATACATATACACATATAAAGGAAAGCACAGAACAAAGAAAGAAGGATGAATATGCCAAAATGTAATTGTGCTATCACAAGACAGCAAAATGTTTACTTTTATAGTCAGGGAGAGAAAAAAAAAACCTTAACAAATCCTCACCCAATATGTTCTGGGGATGATGAAGCCCTGTATAGTTCATCTTTTTGTCGTTTAATTTTTTTATTTTAAAGATGTGGGGTACAATTCAGATTTAGGTACACAAGTGGTCATCATACAGGTGAAGTTTGGGCATCCCTTTGGTCCCCACTTCACCTAGTTTGAGATTAGGTACCCTTATTGATGTTATGTGTCCCCGCCTACCTCCCTTGGCAGTGTTCCGCTACTACCAATCCCTTTCTTATTGTATTATAGCAAATATTTAGGGTTCACTTATGAGTAAGAACATATGGTACTCAGTTCTTTGTTTCTGTGATAGATCACTGAGTAGGATAGACTCTAATTCCATCCAAGTTGCTGCAAAGTCCATAATTTTGTTCTTCTTTATGGCTGTGTAATATTCCATTGTACATATGTACCACATTTAAAAAAATCCAGCCGTTTTGATGGGCAGCATGGTTGGTTCCATGTTTTTGCTATTGTGAATACTGCTGCAATAAACATGCGTGTGCAGGTATATTTTCTGTAGAGTGATGTAAGTTCCTCCAGGTATATTCCCAGAAGGGATGCTGCTGTGTTGTACAGAAGGTCAATTTCTAGTTTTGTTAGGAATCACCACACAGTTTTCAATAGAGGTTGAACTAGTTTGCATTCCCACCAACAGTGTAGAAGCATTCGCTTTTCTCTGCATCCTCGCCAGCATCTGTTGTTGTTTGTTTTATTAATGATAGCCATTCTTACTGGAGTTAGGTGGTATCTTAATGTGGTTTTGCTTTGCAATTCTCTGATGATTAGTGATGCTGAGCATTTTTTCATGTGTCTGTTGGCTGCTCATATGTCTTCTTTTGAGAAGTGTCTGTTTATATCTTTTGCCCACTTTTTAATGGGGCTGTTTGTTTTTTTTCTTTCAGCACATTAGAGTTCCTTGTAGATCCTGAATGTTAGTCCTTTGTCAAATGTGCAGTTGGCAAATGTCTTTTCCTATTCTGTGGGCTGTCTCCCCATTCTCTTGATGGTTTCTTTGGCTCTGCAGAAGCTTTTCAGTTTGATGAAGTTCCTCTTGTCAATCTTATCTCTTATGGCATGGGCTTTTGAGGTTTTGGTCAGGAATTTGTTGCCCATTCTGGTTTCTATAAGGGTGTCTCCTGCATTTTCTAATATTCTTAACTTTTGAGGTTTTATGTTTAGGTCTTTGATCCATTTGGAGTTGCTTTTTGTGTATGGTAATAGGTAGGGGTCCTGTTTTGTTCTTCTGCACATGGTCAGCCAGTTTTCCCAGCACCATATACTGATTAGGTTCTCCTTTCCCCAGTGGTTATCATTGGAGACTTTCTGGAATCTCTATCTTATTCCATTGGTCTATATACCTGTTCTTGTACCAATACCTGGTTGTTTTGATTATTGTAGTCTTATAATAAAGTTTAAAATCTGGAAGTGTGATATCTCCCACTTTGTTTCTTTTGCTAAGGATTGTTTTGGCTATTTGTGGTATTTATGTTTCCATATGAATTTCTCTATTGTTGTTTTCAGGTCTGAGAAAAATTATGTTGGTAATTTAAAGGGTATAGCATTGAATCTGTAGATTGCCTTTGGTAGGTTGGACACCTTAACAATGTTGATTCTTCCAACCCATGAGCATGGAAAATTTTTCCATTTTTGTGTGTCATCTTTGACTTCTTTGAGCAGTGTTTTGTAGTTTTCATTGTAAAAGTCTTTTCACTTCTCTGGTTAGGAAGATGCCGAGGCATTT